TTTACTGGATAAGTGTATCAAGATAATGATGCTGTATATGAATGCTAAATTACACGTTAGGGGACAAGTCAGAATATTTGATAGATGGTAACTACCGACAACACGATTGTACCTGAACATCTGTGTTTTTTGTCTGTTGTTTGTGTAGCTCTTTTATCACATTGTTGAGCCTGCGCGTCACACTTGCAGCACAGTCTAGATCCGGAAAGCGGCTGACGGATAGTTTCGATGTTGTTGCTGACTGCACTATTTAAGACTCAACATTGACAGCATGTCTCAGTCCGTAGATCTGCACACAATGTGAAACCTCACACACCTTGTCGTTGTTGTGAAACTGACACATTGCTTCTCTTATGGTAATTGTTTTTCAACTGTTTAAGACCACAGCCAGAAGTGCTGAATACAGGCTTTGGCACTGAACTTATTGATCTTTGCTGCTTACTCAGAACAGCATCTGTATTGTGACATGGTTAAGATCATGAGTCTCTTAAGAGTGAGTCACAAAAACCTGGAGTTGAACCATTTGGGGAAAAAAGCTGCATCAGGGCGATGCACACAAATCTGATGTGTTGGAACCCAAACCTGTGATGTTCAAGTTCTTGTAGCTCGTCAATATAGCCAACTTAGTGTGCTCGGTGTGTCTCAAGATCTCCAAGACTCAAATGTAAGGTGAATGCCTCCACACAGCATTGTGTGTTGTTTTATGTGTGCCTTTTTCAGAAATGACTGTGTAATACTGGAGTGTAGTGAAAGCAAATTTAAAGCAGAAACCACATTTTGCAAGTGTGGAAAAGTTTAATGTTTGATACAAATACGTGAAGAATACTATGACACTGCGGCTTGAAAAGTTTTTTCAGTTCTGATGTTGTAATAGGTAAACACACTCTGCAGTAGGAGAACAGCATCTTTTATACTCAGTCATGGTCTTCTCTTGTTAACTGTGGGAACTTCCTTTTTGGTTTCAGTTTTAGACTCGATTTGAGCTTAAATGCTCTACTTTTTACCTTATTATTCTCACATTCTTATCTACTTTCCTTTGTTTCGAAATTCATCTGACAATGTAAAAAACTTTTGAGAAACAGGGTTGAATAAAGGCTAGGGGTAAGGTTTTAAAAGCAGAAATCTGATTGTATTACCTAGATGTTTAAAATCCCTAACATTAAAAAAATAGTCAATTTCTCATATACACACTGATTACTAGAGAAAACCAGCAGCTTGTAATTGTAAACTCATTGATAGATCTCCTATCTTATTTTACTCTTGAATTCTTAATTATTTTCACAGATACATTTTGCATGAAGCACATATTTTTCTTTCTTGATCTCAGCTCATTTTAGTGTATACATCCTGGGTCTTGAGCCAGATGCTGTGGCAGCACTGTGTTTTTAGCATTAGCTGCCCTTAAACAGTTAGCACAGGGACTGTTCTGCCCCTGACACTCCCTGCTGCTCTTATCGTAGCTTGTTTCAGCCACCCTCACCTCTGCACACAAACAGTCCGATTACACTGGAGCGCAAACTCTGATAGGGTCATGTTCAAAGGCCACTTCCTCCCCCTCAATTGTGGAAATGCCTTCCAGAGGGTAGAGCGAGACGAAAAGTTTAACAGAGAAAAAATGAAACCTCCATAGTTTGTGTGTGTGAGGCCTAAAATAAGGAGAATCCGATGTATAATTATTGAGCTAAAACAAAGCTTCTGACTTCCATTGGTAAAATAATATTTTATATCACAATATAACTCAAAGTGAACATCCCCTTTTTACACCAGAGCCAATTGTGCCAGTAAAGGTCACTTAAGATGATTATTTGAATGTTATATTTGTTAATGTATAGTCTCTACAAGTAGGACAGCCGGATGCTTTTGTCGCCCTCTTTAGCATGAAGTTGCAAACAGTAGTAGAAAGAGGAACCTGAATCATGGTTAGTTGTGTCATTAGCAGTTCTTCAGTAGCTTGTTGTCTCTTACTATATACATTCAGTGTAAGATTTGTCTTCTATTTGTTGTTTGCTCAATTTAAATGGCCAGGGCTAGAGGAGAAAAGAGAGACATTTGCTTTTCTCAGTAAACACCTTCAATAATTAGCCCAAGGTGGAGCTGGATGCGTTCTGTTATCACTGTAAACATGAAACAGTGCAGTGTGACTATGCTTAAAATGTCCTGCTGATTGAATTGACACACACACTTTTGAATACCACAGTTCTGGATTGGTAGTGTTGGCACAGTAAAAGCTTCAGGTATTAAATAGGATTAGAGAAGGTACTTTTTTTAGTATTGCAAGCTTTAACACAAATACTACTCGATCTTAGAAAAAAAACAAAAAGTGCAGCAAAAACTACGGGTGACTTCCAGTATGAAAATGCACATTCAATGAAAAAGCTTTGGGTGTATTTGTTGTATTCAGGGACTTTAACTCATGTTTTGTTACAATATCAACTTAATGAGTGACTCTGATTTTAGGGCTTTCATACAAAATGTGCCTAAAGATTCTCGATAACACAAAATGTTAAATGCAACCAGAGCTAAACTAAAACATGAGGGGCATAAAAATGATTGATAAGTTGACAAAAGATGTTTAGCATCATATTTAATAATAGATCTGGAATAGATAGAATATAGTATGAGGACAACCCCTGTTGAACATCTTGTATACTAAAAATATATTTTTGAGCCACTGTCTTCACAAGCAGTTTATTTTGTTTACCTTAACATGTTCGCCTTTTTAAGTAGGCGAAGCCAACACACTAACATTGATATCCACTTATTGATTAAACAAGACGCAATATTAATATGTATATACTGCCGTGCTTATACTTGTTTTCTTTGGTCTTGTGTATTTAAAATATATTCTGCTGCAAAGGATTTGTTTTTTCTTCCAAAAAGTCGATCAACAATATATCCAGATATTCTTATTTGACGCGACTTTCTGCATCTCACTTGCTCAATGTAAGACCAGCATATGTAAGTGCTGACTTCCTTTTCAACATTATGCAAAGCAAATGGCTGAGGTTTTTTTTATTTTTGACATCCAGCTCAAGTTTTCACAAGTTTTTTTTGACCTGTAAAACTACTGAAAGGTTTACAGAAAATGAGAGCTGAAGGGCTTAGTGGAAAGACTTGTAATGACTTAGACACAGTTTTACAGGAAGATTATTGTCTATAAAACAACATTTTAGTTTTAAAACAGTCAGTGTCAAATCAGTGATCTGTGAGCTCATTTGGGGTTCCAGGTTATCTCGAGCACGCTGAAAATAACAAGCTGTTTTTTCTCAGATTAATGACTCTGTTGGGTTTCTGTCCAGCCATCCCCAAATCATCTAAATCTAACCCTGAAGCATTTCTTCCCTCATCAGCAGCTGGTCGGTGTTGCCAAATAGCCGTGCTTTTCTATCTGACTGTTACGGAGCTTGCCTCAACACGCACCTCTATTACTTTCTCACTGTCTGAAGATCTGTCATATATAGCCAGTGGCCATGTGAACCTTCTCAGACACTGCGTTTAAGGTGGTCTCACACCCTGATGGTATTTTTGCTATCACAGTAATGACTTTAAGGGTTCAGGGAGGAAGACACAAAACCAACAGAATATTTTCTAATGTGGCTAAAGACAGAAGAAAATAGTCTGAGTTTTGTACGTGAACATTTAGCAACAGATGAAAGCAAGCGCTCAACAGAGAAGTTTCAAGACCTCAAAATGATGTAAATGTAATCTGTTTGACCTCTGCTCTTTTTATAGCCCCTGCTTTCTCTCCAAATACCCTATTGAAGAATCTTGTGTGGCCTAAATAGACTACTAGATGTGTTGTCCAATGGCAGTTAGATGGATGGAGAGACGGGTTTGAGATGTAAAATCTTGCTGAGGGTTAAAATGTAAAACAGGGAGAAGAGCTTTCCCTCAGAAGTTTGATATACATATGAGAAGTAAGAGTTCATTAATTTCAGAAGTTTATTTACATTCACATTATTTGGTCCAAAGCAGTTCTCACCAAGAATCAACAACTTCCACTTGTTTTGATTTGCCTCTCTGTGTTGTTGCCTTGATCTTAGTATGTGCTCCACACACTGATTGTCTGACCACTTGGTAGATCTAGCTGGTGCAAAAAGGTGAAAGAGAATTTGACTTGATTTCATCAGAGGACTTGAACTGGGTGTCCATGCAGCACTGAGTGCCCAAGATGTTGGTTTATGAAGTTTTGTCGTTGTTGTTGTTGTTGTTACAAATTTCCAGCAGTCTACATTTGAGTTATTGACCTACCATAACTGACTTGAACATCGCTTAAATTAAAATCATGACCTCAGATGTCATTAGCCTCACTGTGTTGATACTGAAGGGATGGACTCTGTTGCCAATAACACATTGACACAACAAAATGAATGGGCTCATTTAATGTGGTGGTTATAAATAAACATGCACACATGTGGGAGTTGCTGTTATTTAGGATTGGGTGATGTGGCCAGCGTCAGCGTTAACGTCGAGATGAGACGGGCAGGTTGGACTCGTATGGGTTGTTTTTCCTCTCCTCTGGCTGGGAGTGTTGGTCACGCTGTGAGAAAAGTGTGATCCTGGTGATTAGGGGTGTGATCATTCCTCTCCTTTTGTCTGCCTCATTCGCCACTAAGCAAACACAAAAACCTGTTTTACAAGCCTCGTTCCTCATGAGAAACAAACACAAACAGTCAAATGTCAAACATGACACCACCTTCACTTTTGTTGCACATGAGTCTGATTGTTTTCTTAACTTATACGTAGGTCATGGTTTTTGTACGGTAGACACTTGAACAATAATAACCAGGTTTATTATAAAAATGAATAGTTGTTTTTTTCTGGAAGTTACATATTGTATAATACAAGCATTTGATCTGTAGAAATTCTGACATATTCTTCTAATAAAATGAATGTTTCATCTTTTGCCCTTCCCCTCTGTTTCTCTGTGCAGTTCCAGCAGTCGGTGTCATCAGAACTGAAAACTCTGGGCAGAAGCTCTTACACACTTTGCGTCGACAGCCCCCTGATCGTCCGACAGGCCCTCCACCCAGAAGCCTCCAAAAAAGTAATAGTTTTTTTTCCACTGTCTGAAGAGAGAAACTGTAAAAAAATAAAAACATTCCTATAACTGGTGTTGTGAAAATATGAAATATAAGCCCTTGATTAAAAAGAAAATAGAAGTTTGAATATAGAATAACAATAATCCTATTTCTCGTACTTTGTTCATAGCTTAAATTACATACTATCTAATAAACAACATTTTAGCCTTGAGGGTTTAGAATTCATGATAGTATTGAAATGTGTTAAATATAAGCTTTTTCCCCTCATGATGTGGGCATTGAGGTCAAGAGGTCAGGACTTTATGATGGATGTTTTCCTCCTTTGTTTGTCCCGGGTTGTAACACGGGATGATGTCGGCATGAACAAATCTTTTCGTCTGCATCTTCTCTGTTTCATCTTTTTGATCGTTTGCTTCCTGCTGTATCCAATTTCCATGTAAGGTCGCCATACTGTGGAAACTAAATTCTTTGTGTTGTTCCTTCTTTCTTCACAGAATCTTGTCCTTCCTGAATGTTTCCTTTCATTTGTGGACGTGAGGAAGGAGTTTCACAAATGCTGCCCCAACGCTGGCCCTGTGGCCAAGCACACACCCGCCTCCATGTTGGAATGTATCTTTTACTTGCTTGTGTACTAATGTTGAATGTATAATCAAAATGTAATTTCTAATGAATGTATAAACTCTCCTTTCATAGTTCAGGTTAACTTATTATTTCCTTAACAGGAAAACTAACCCTAGCAGCGTTCACATTGCCAAGTCTTACACATTACAGTGTGAGGCAGCATAAAAAGGTCTTTATCCTTAACTGTTTGTGCAGTTGTGGGTCTCCCTGCTGTATCAGAGGAGATGTTTGGGGTGAGGGAGGTGAGAAGCATGGTGCAGCTGACACTTCGCATCCTGGCTGATCCTTACAGTAAGTAACAGTCGCTAACAGATATTAGATTCTCTATTTTGTTTATTGTCAAGTAGATGCATACTGATACTCATAGAACTAAAATACATACCCGTGCAGAGAAAGCAGAAAATACCATGTCAATATAAAGAACATGTGGTGAATGTGGCGTTCACAGCTAGTAATTACTGTGTATCAGCCTTCTCTGGCTTAACTTTCTATAATCAGCATGGTGACTGTAAAACAAAAAAAACAACCTCTCTTGCAGGTTTTTTATATTAAAGGTGTGGTAGCTTTTAGAACCCTAAACAATGTCTCTGATTATATAATTTTTACTTAAAAAGCCAAAATAACTTCAATCAGGCATTTTTCATTGTTAGCAGATCATTGAAATGTGTTTTAAAGCAACAAACAGTCTTCTCATCATTACTTGATTTTCTGTCATTGGTTTATGAAAGATGACTCCAGATATGTTAAAGCACAAATAAGTCAAACCTTGATTTAATGTCTTCGAGCTGTGGCACTTGTCTCTAACTTTATCCTCTTAATAACAGGCAAGTATGTATTTGCATGTGATCGGTAACAGGAATGCAGAGTGCTGAAAACGCATGCTGCTTGGCAGGGTGAACCTGTTTACTACAGAATACTGAAAACATTGTTTTGAAACTTGAATGTATATCCTCCTTTGTTTCTCTTTAGATCACAAGTTCTCCTGTGTTGAAACCGTGAAGTACAAGTTTGATTCTGGCACGTGGTATGTATGAACTTTTCAATAAATGTACATGTGTGTATGTGTCGATGCCACACCTGTGAGCCAGCAGTGTTGTTCACAGACTGAAATCCCCCTCCAGACATCTTCAGACCTCAGACCTTTAGCATTGATTACAGCAACAAGGAAGCCAGCAAGTAAAGCATGTTATTTAAGCTGTCCAACTTTGCCATCAAGTGCTTACCTGGGTTATCTTGTAGCAGAGCCTCAGATCCTGCAGTCAAAAGCCTGTCACCTTGACAACCCCCTGACATTTAATCATGGTAGTGTGTTACTGTGTTGAGCACTTACTGTGAGTGGCCTCTGTGTCTGCTGGCTGTGGACAATTTGTTCAATGAGAACAAGGTGTTGGGGGGTGGGTTTTTTTTTTCTTCTAAAAGCTGTAATCACCTGCGGAAATTGTTTTTGTAATCTGTATGATCTTCCTTTGTAAATAAGCTCATAATGTCTGTCTTGTTTTTTTGTTTTCCCTGATCAGCAGTAAGACTGAGCCGGTGGACAGTGAGACGGTCATTAGAGCTCGAGGGCTGCCATGGCAGTCATCAGACCAAGACATTGCTCGCTTCTTTAAAGGCCTCAGTATTGCAAAGTATGTTTAACTAGATAAGCTGTCAAAAGCCCCTTTATACTATAAATACTTTCAACATAGGCTATTTGAAGCAATTGTGGCTATTTCCCCCTTTTCTTAAATTATAATGGATATGAACTTGCACTTTGACCTCAGCTACTACAGCTAGCCTGGCTCAGTATACTAATAGATGTATCTGTGCTCCTGTTTTTCAGAGGCGGCGTGGCCCTGTGTCTCAATGCTCAGGGCAGGAGAAACGGCGAGGCTTTAGTTCGTTTCATCAACTCTGAACACAGGGACCTGGCCCTGGAGCGCCACAAGCACCACATGGGGAGCCGCTACATCGAGGTTAGGCAGCATTAATCTCTCGTTCAGGCGTACAGTTTTACTCTATGTTGTGTGTTTAAATATATATGCTTAGCTGAAAATGAATCTCCCCTTTAAGATCTAAAAGATGCATGTTTAAGTCTAGTGAGAAGAGGAAGAGGAAGAAATCAAGATACATTGCAATAAATTCCCTCAGAACTGTTCCTGCTGGTTTTGTTTGGTTTATCGGACTGAAGATCTATCACTTGTCAGTTTGAAGAAATGAAATCAACACTTCATGAATCATGTTGTTGTTTTGGCTAAATCCATTCCCCCTTGTCTACAGGTCTACAAGGCTACAGGAGAGGAATTCCTCAAGATCGCTGGAGGTCAGATTTCAGATTTTGTTTCTCTCCCCTCTCTTCTCACTACGTTTGTCTGCTTCCCGTGGTGAAAGGCTTTCTGTTAGTTAGGGTAGACTTCTATTACATGGATTTCCCGCATCTCTGAGGAAAAACAAGACTCTTCCACATCTGTAAAAGAGCAGCTCTTTAGTGACTGTAAAAGAAGAGCTCTCATTTGCTCTCCGGGTCTCTCTCCTGTTACCTGTTTCTCTACCTCATCACACTGACTCTCCAGCAGCTTATCTTGGGCTAATAAAAGACGCTTTGTGAGGAACTTCCCCCACTGCTCCCATCCCTTTCCTCACCCCTAGATCCCCAGCGTAAACCATCAGAGGCCAATAGGAGAGACATTTCCCTCTCAGCTAACAGCCGCTCACCTGTTCAGTTCTAGCCTGGGGCTGTACTCCCCCCGGGGAGAGGAGGCTGACGGTCAGTGAAAGGAGCAGCTCAGGGCTGGTACAAAGGGGGTGTGAAGAGACAAAGGCAGGGCCCGAGGCCTCCGGACCACAGAGCAGCAGCCCGCAGTCACACAGGACAGAGATAGCAGACAAAGACGCACAGTCACTCGCAGCAGATAACTTACAGTGGCTGCCGGTCTGACTGTGGACTTTACTCATGCATGACGATTGGTACAGGTTGACAGCACATTGGACTTTAAGCAAATTGTTTAGGCAGACACTAGCTGCTTTATCAATCAAAGTGAAAGAAGTTCAGAGTAAGCTTGTGAAGAATCAGGAATTGTCGTATCTGTAACTGTTTGATTTGAGGACTTTTGTAACCTTTTACCATCTAAGGGAACTGGGCCATTAATTACTCTTCTGAAATACTGGATATTTCTGACTCGAGAGTGAAACATTTTTATTTTACTTGAGTTTTTATATAAAAACAGTGACAACTTTAATAACCCTGTTTATTCCTCTTTCCTTTTGGTTGGTCAAGGTCAAATACAAACAGGTCATGTTAATGCGCTGCATCAGTCTGCTCTCATAACTCTCTATATAGCTAATAGCTAATAAAACATTTAACAGCAGTTGGTTTAACAGCTCGAAACCAGATGGGCTTATTTCTAGACTGAAGTGTTAACTGAGATACGATGAGAAAATGTGTCTTTATAACCCTTATTTGTAAAGTCATTGAAGTTGAAGCTGTAGCAGAGTCAAGAGGAACATGATATTAATAAAAGGAAATCAACTGGAAGGACAAGCAGGTTGTTGTTCGTGGGAACTGGCAAATTGAACTGGAATAGTGACATCATCTCTGCCTCTGCACACGTCAACTTGCAAAGCCACTGGAACACTTTTTGGTCACTACTAGCCTGACTTCTGCTTTTGTTTCTGCTGCTTTGCTGCCTTACACTTATTCTCACCCTTCTGTTTAAAATGTGATTCTTTACTGTTTTCTAAGTAAATCAGAAATCACAATTTAAAGGTTCATTACATAAAGAAATGTTTGCTGTACATGAAACAAGAACAAATACAACAAATAGGATGCAAAATACATGATTAAAATAGATGACTTTGGAGATTATTTAAATAGAAAAGAATGTGTCCTCTGCAAATCTTGACTTGAGGATCACTGAGATCGCTTTTTTTTATTTGCCAGGTGTGGGATTTGCTGTATCAGCAAACCAAGTTACTTGTGAGATTGTGCGAGGGATGCTATGAATCTTGGGAAAGCATAACAGTGATGACAAAGTCACTACTTTGTTCCAAATATCACAGGAACTTTTGGATAGGATACCATGTATTGCATCTGAAGGAAGAATTCCTTATAGGATTCCCTACATTTTTAGGGCTACAACCAGGTCAAAGTTTTCTAATGCTGTTTGTCAACTTCTGTGAGATGGATCGGCACAAAGATTTATTCAAGTGCAGACACAGGAAGGTTTCTTATCAACTGTCTGAAGTAAGTACAGCACATTTTAAGAGTAGATTCATGTTGCAAGGAAGAAAAATGTAATAATCCTATGATTTACCATCTAATGGTAGAAATGTTTTAGTATTGTGATTGTTACAATACCTCGGTTAACGACCAAATGCGTGGGTTTGCTCACTGCACTGCTGATCTTAGGTGTAGCCTCAAAAAGCTGCTAGCATTGCTGTAGTCTCATAGATCATTGATATGACAATATAAAATCAGATGCATCCTGATAGGGGATAGTGGATCTTCTACTGCTTTGAAAGCTCAGTTAAACTGATTCAAGTATAAACCATGTTCAGGAACAAAACAAAGAGTGTCTCAGAGGTACTGTTCCAGGTATTTAATCAATGCTGTCTTCTGACACCAGGTACGTCTAATGAGGTGGCCCAGTTCCTGTCCAAAGAGAACCAGGTGATTATCCGCATGCGGGGGTTGCCGTTTACCGCCACGCCTCAGGAAGTGCTGTCATTCCTCGGTCCGGAGAGCCCAGTTACAGACGGTACAGAGGGTCTGCTGTTTGTCAAGTACCCGGATGGGCGGCCCACCGGCGACGCGTTTGTCCTTTTCTCCTGTGAAGAGTACGCCCAGAACGCCCTGAAGAAGCACAAGCAGATCCTCGGGAAGCGGTATATCGAGTTGTTCAGGAGCACTGCTGCTGAGGTGCAACAGGTACATTCTTTTAAGTAGTGTGAGCTGGAGAAATCTTTGAGTAATGTAATAATATAAAAACACATCATGTAAGATTTCCTACAGTTATACTGGAAACATGTGGTTTCAGGGTATTTTTGTAGTGGTTAGACTTTTTTTATGTAGAGGAATTAATTCAACACATGGTTGTACACGATTGTTGCTTTATAAATATATTGTGTAATACAGAAAATACCTTTGAAAAACATTACCAAGAGGGGAAGTTGTGGTTTTGAATGAAAACAAGAGCATTGCGTGTCTCAAGGAGAAAACCAGAGTACTATGTTATCATGACATATACAGTATTTAAAAAATCTAAGATTTTAATTTTTCCACCCATATAGGTTTTGATTCTTTTTCATCAACAATAATAAACAAAACACACGTTAGTCACTTCTCCTGGTTGTGTTTGACATAGAGCAGAGAGAAAACAGGATGTCTCACCCTAAGTGTGTGATGAAATCAGAACGTTGGTGAAGTTTGCACAACGGAAGATTACATGTATAATACTGCCCAGTTTGGATGTGGTCTATGTGTTATGAAACCATCCTCCTTCTAAAGTATTCATGTGTTTGTGTCTCAGCCCATGGAATGGCAGATCATGTCGTCATGTTTTGTTTCTGTGTTTTCCAGGTGCTGAACCGCTACATGTCCGCACCTCTGATCTCCACACTGCCCCCCTCACCCATCGTTCCTGTCCCGGTCCTTGCCACGCCTCCATTCCTTCCAGCAGCCAGCAACACTAGAGACTGTGTACGCCTCCGTGGCCTGCCGTACACCGCCGGCATCGAAGACATCCTGGAGTTTATGGGAGAGCACACAGTGGACATCAAACCTCATGGAGTCCACATGGTCCTCAACCAACAGGTCAGACTGCAGGGGGCTCAGTGACAAACATACCTAGAAGACTTCATCCCTTAAAAGTGTAAAATGCCATCATGATTCATGTTATTGAACATGAACACAAGTAGCCAGTTCCGAATCAGATCTCAGTTAGATCAGTCATGTAACTTGTGTAGTAAAAATCCCAACTTCAACTCAATGATATCTCTGTTTGTTTCTTCTTTTCTTCCCTCTGCAGGGCCGACCGTCGGGTGACGCTTTTATTCAAATGAAGTCATCGGAGAAGGCGTTTATGGTTGCCCAGAAGTGCCATAAAAAGACCATGAAAGACCGCTATGTGGAGGTGTTTCAGTGCTCCACAGAAGAGATGAGCATCGTGCTGATGGGAGGAACCCTGAACCGCAGCGGCCTCTCCCCCCCGCCCTGCAAACTACCCTGTGAGTCAACTTCACTGGATGGTTCATTGGGGCCTTCTCTCCTTTTGTCTTAATTATTATTATTTAATTAAATAATGTTTAAGTATTTCCTGAGTTTCATATGCTTTACAGGCTGCTGGTATTCATTTAGTAACAAAGAAAAAAGGACCTGTATCAAAAAGTAAAGTTCAGACTGGACTGGCTGCAGCTCGAACTGTGTACTTTGCTCTGTTGTGGCTCATATCTGCTTTTGGTGTTGACGATAAGATTAGAATGGGCTGCACTAGAGCCATAGATGTCATTACAGTTAGAGTTTTACTGTGTAATTGTGTTGTCATTTATTAACAAATCATTTTATTTTTCATTTTCATGAAATAGTGTTTTGGTCTTGCTTTTTTTTTACTTCTTGCTTACTTTTTTTCTAAAGAGTCAAGGTCATTTCTTTGTATCGATTCACTGACCAGTCTCTCTATTGAAGGCATTAAAACCCCAAAAATAATTATTAAAAACTAACAGTGGAAACACTCTCACAAGGTCAGCAGTGTTGTGTGTCACTGTGCTGGCGCTAAAGGACACCACGGCTGCCCACACCCTCACACTGATAACGGCTGTTTATATGTAAATACAACCACACTTTCATTTGTATGTGTGTGTTTCTATTGTAAGTATGACAGCCTGAAGGACACAGTGAGCTTGGTGCACAGAAAGTGTTTTTTTGTGATTCTGATGTTCTTAAAGTGTGTCAGCTCTTGCTGTCATGGTTTTTTAGGTTTGCCTGACAGAGTCTTTGCATGTGTCAGACATTTTAACCATATCATCAAAACCTTTAATTTGCAAGTGAAATACAAGATGAATGTAATCGCAGTGAATAACACAGAGACATGTAGAGATATCAGTATCAGTATTTAATTTTAACTCCATAAGAGTCACACTGTGTCCCTCAATCTCCCTCAAAGACACAAGTTGTGTTTGTACAGTATGGATAAATGTAAGCGCTCAAACATGTTCTTTAATTGTTGATTTGTTTACTATTTTGTTGTTTGTTGTTAAATCAGTAGATAGTGTGTGCTGTTAACCATCTGCAAACTTGCAGGATTGTTGTGTCGACTCTCGAAGGATACATTTCAGTTCTGTACAAGTGAACAACCCATCACAGTGTTTATGTTTTTGTCTTGTGTTGTTCCGTAGGTCTGTCTCCCCCCACAGCCTACGCTGCCTTCCCTACCCCGCCTGGTATGCTCTCTGAGGCCGCCCTCTACCAATCCCCCCTGCTGGCTGCTCCCAGACCTGCTCAGACAGCACACAACCCGGCTCACACACTGGCCTACTACCCTCACCCTCACCCTCACCCTCATCCTCACCCTCACCAACCACACCTGTACATGAACATGAACATGAACTACACAGCTTACTACCCTAGGTAAGTTCATTTTGAGCTAGAGCTAACTGCTAGGACAGAACACAAGTATCACACATCTCATTTCTTGCCTTTATTTTCTTCTTTCTCCAGCCCTCCAGTCTCTCCCTCTACAGTTAGCTACTTTGCAGCTCCTCCTGGAGCAATGGCAGCAGTGGCAGCCCAACCCCACCACGCAGCAGCCGCAGCTTCTTCGGTTCTGCCTCAGCCCGGGGCCCTGGTCAGGATGCAGGGTCTACCCTACAACGCTGGAGTCAAAGACATTCTCAGCTTCTTCCAGGGATACCAGGTCAGAAATGT